AGAAGTTTAGATCATTGTTAGCAAATACTGAATAACTCACAAAAAAGGTTGAGGAGAGTGATTTAAGCAAAAGAATGAGAGCTTTGCAAAGTTAGATCTACTCTTGTCTAAAGCCATTGATTACAAGGATACCGTTATACAAAACTATTGTTGCTTCTCAAAATAAGCATATTATAAATTGTGGACTTTTGCAGAAAGTTGACAAAATCTGAGTGTGAGAATAATTGGATTTTTCCAGATTTTCAAAAGAAATTTCCGCTTCAAACGATTGATAGAATGAACATGAGTATTGTAAGGTTTATATGGCAATCAGTAACTAACTTTCAAAAAGAAACATATCTGCCATACTAATTATACGATTTGAGACTTGTAATTTGTTTTTTTTAAACCTAAAAATCGTCAGTTACTTAATTTTAAGTAAAATACTCATTTTTAAACGTACAAATATGCCTGTCTCATCTTACAATTGTTCCTCTGTAACTTTCAATGTATAATCTCATATTTGCTTTCATAAATTGAAATTTTTTTGGGATAATCACTTACCATCACTACATAAGTATATAACTCGATATTATATTTAATTCTCTCCTAGAGTTCCACTGCGTGAACTTTTTGACCTTTTTTCGCTGACATTGCGTGTTGCTTTTCTGAAAGACATTCTCTGCGACCGGCTAGTTCTGCCTACGTATGCGCATATTGCGGGGTTAGCTTTAAAGAACAGCTGAAGCAGACCAAACATTGAAAGGGAATGTATTTCGGTTTTCGAAGCCAAATTTGGAGCCTTCTTGAACTCTGTGGTTGGCCTACAGCCATGCAGGATTTTTCAGAAGCCAACCTTGCAGTCTTTCTTGAAGAGAGAAACTTTGTAAAAAATACTCTAACGCATAAACTTTGCTATTTTCTCCTCTCTTGCTGCATTATTTCGCAAAAGAATAATTTTGCGTGTTTCCTCTTCAATTCTGTCCATTTTGAACTTACGAAGTTATCAGTTCCTATAAAAATTCAGACCCCCCAAACTGCTTTCTGGACTAGCTTTGAGTTGAAGA